GGAGCACAAATAATTTTTATAGAATAATTGAACTGGAATTTTATGTGACAAAATTCTTCAAAATTTCAGTGTAAATTTCAGCCAAAAACTTCTAGCAGTGTATTCCAGGAGGAATGTTGATCAATTGAAAAATACAACATTATCTTTCATTGTCTAGATTAGAGGTATCATTCCTCTGCGGATAATTAACGTCCTTGTACCACTTGCAATTCTTCAATTTTTTAAACCCCTTTACTACGAACAAAGGAAATATTAATTAATAAACGGATTAATGTCAGACTATAAAACTGACCTGGTTCTTGATACTTTGTCATCCAAATCGGTTGTGTTATGAATCGACGCAGAATTGACATCCGAAGTCACCGACGACTACATACGTGAGTCAACCAACACTTTACTGCACGTGCTCCTGCCTCAACCACCGATATATGTCGGAACACTACAAACAATTCAACGCAAGATGCAATGGAATCCACGAATGCGATAAAATATTATGAAAAGTCTATTGAAGCACGTATAACTTTTACCGCTCGTACTACGCATTTTGAAATAGCACCAAGGGGTTCAGGTAGAAATTGAATTCATTGAATGGCAATGCGAGTCCCGTAAACGAGACAATATGGGACTATGACAGGTGCAATGAGGTAGTGACATAAAACATTCTCAGAAACGAAATATAATTCAGCAAAATTGAATCCCCAGGGGATAATACAAAATTGATTTCGTAACTTCAAGGGCCCTTCCATCGAATGTGAATGCGTTTCAACTTGATTTCAATCCATCTGATTGCATGGATAGTGTTATCAGTTTCGATAAGAAATTATGAAATTCATCAATGGTTTTCCTCAGTTGAAAAGAATCCCTCATGCGTGTGTCTTAGAATTTTTGAAAGCTATTGAATCGTTTTAGAAGTAGAGTCCTGTATTCATCAACTATTGCTCATTGACCAGTGGTTTTTCTCAATTGAAATGAATTCCTCAAGCGTCTGTAAGACAGGTGATAAATATACCGGATTGTATTAGGTCTATCGGTAAATTGCCACAGTACGACTAGGTGCACGGGACAAATTAATGGCAGCTGCCCACGCTACCATAGGGTCAGGCCACCTCGACCGTAAGTTGTATCATCAAGCGGCCCAAGTACAAGAGGGCACCTCCCCCAGTCGTTTTCTCCATAAACTCGTGGGCGTAAAAATTTGCTTCTTCGCATTCGCCGATGTGACTTTAATACAACAAAAACGAGACAACAGCCGTTAGTTGCTCTTCTGGACTGACATTAATAACATTGTGAGTTGTGCGCCGTGTCGCGTGCATTAACCTACTGTGTTTACGAAATAGTTGGAATAAAAAAAATCAGTCGTTCGCGTTCTTGAAAATGTGGAAGTGAAAGGTGGAGAATTGCCGAGATTATTCATAGTCGATGCAAGTATGGGCCATAAATCGGGTGAGTAGGCGTGCGATGTTTCCCGTGACCTCGTGGAAAAATTATGACAAACTGGGTGTTAATGTTTATCGATTAATTTTCTGAGGTCGAGTGCACGTCAATGCACTCGTAATCTCTGATAAAATGTCCCATTTTTTATACTATCGTGAATGACGCGAAGGTCTGGGTTCTTCCCACATGTTGGCATGTCAAGTCATTATCTCAGCGTATGCTACTGGAACTTGCTCATTGTAGAGTTTCATTATTATTCTCAATGAAAGAATGTGCAAAAAATCGGTACAATCTGCACGTCGTTATTCATCAGCAGCAAGTATCAACTGTTGAATGTTGAAATGCCATCTGTTTTCATGCATTACTTCAGTCATGCAACCAAACTCGACAATAACATTTGGCTGCAATTCTTCCTCAAAAGGACATGAGTTGTTTTGACGTTCTTGGCAGCGAATAACATTTTGGAAATGATACCTGCAGTTATCACCAGTGCGACGTCAAACTGCTTATCTCCTTATTTAATTACTGCACTGCGTCGCTAGGATTCTTGACAATTACTATGTTTTATGGAGGGAAACAGGAAAAATTGTGAGGGAGGTAAACACTCGACAGAGCTGACAATTTTCATGATTGCTTCAAGTGTTCAGATGGTTGTACAACGAAGGACGCAACCCCTCTCTGTATCTCATTATCTAATCTTTGTTTCTCCTACCTTGTTGTATCTTATTTTCAATCTACACATAAAATCTAAAGCGGTGAATGATAGATTGTTCAGTGTCTTGATGATCGCCGGCACGTTCTCTTGATTTTTTATCTGAAAACTCTTTCAGGCGCAGGGAAACGCAATTTTTTCTTTCTTGAAAATTTGTAGAAAGGAAAATTTTGTGGCTTTTGGCATAAATACAGGAGTGGAATTTCTTGAAGAAATTTTTATACACTCCGTTGCTGTCGAAGTGATTGTTGTCAGCTCTGTGTTCAATTCGATGAAAAAGTAAAATTTAAAGCTAATAAAAATAATTCAGTGGAACTTTGAATACTTCAAAGTTATTATCAAAATATCGAGTGTTTTTGTGTCAAATGAGGATCGATAGTCATTGGGCGATCAGCGAATCTCACCGAAGGATAGAAATAACAGTATTTATAACAGAAAGTGAAACAGCAAGGTGACCCCCTGCAACAATCTAAAACAGGGGAAAATCAAAAAGTTATCTGTGATTGAATTTTTAGTTGAAATTGCATGACTGTTGTCATTCACTTGTCAATCATCTACCATCGGACTCCGACTCTCTCATTATTCATGATCGTCGGATTAACAAGACAATAGCGTGAGCTGTACAAAAACTGCTATGTTGGAATTATCGGTTCAGCATGCAGATATTGGTATATACTCTATCCAATTTCTCATTATCCTATCACGATAAACAAGCGTGGTCCATTACATCACAATGTTTCATCACTATTTTTTTTTCTGATCTTTGAAAAAAAAAATTCGTAGCGAGTTTGTTGAACTCTGGAACGTGGCGACCGGTTATGATGAATTCTGATAGTTAATCTCTAATAACAGATTAAATCATTATGATTATGAGTCCTATTTCCATTTAAATTCACGACGGTTTCAAAGGACTCATTCAATTATGTTTCAACGAAAAAAATGTTGAATATTCTATAACAAATTTTATTGTATCAAGTCTCACATGTGTGAGTTCATCTACTAGTAGTTGCTGGCACTTATCTCGATACATGCGCTCGATAAAACCTCGGTTGCAAAGTCCCACTTGACTTCAAGTGGAATAAAATCCCTACACTCTGTCCATGTATTAATTAATATCCAATTCTGTCAATTAAATCTTATCACTAGACTTTTAGTAGTGAACCTATCTCCCAGGTCAATTTGTTGGGATTAATCTTAACGGCTTCCATATAATCACTGTACAGAATCTCCCAGTTGTATAACTATTTCTTCACCAATTATATAAAGTTCAATGTATTTGAAATAACCTCCCTCCTTACTTGAATCTGCTAATTGTACCGATGCGAATAGCATCAAGTCCTTGTACTGAATTCCTACCATTGGCACTTGGGATAAATTTTACGTACAATGAGAAAAACTTGGTCATGCTGAATTCTTGTTATTGATGCCAAAAAACTACATGAACACACATTCAAGGAATTTTTTTTTTGCACACTTGATTCAAGTTAATTATCATCAAACGATACGCCATCCTCGAATCTCTCGCTCTTCCTCTGCAATTGCTCACTCTTACCTCCTTAAAGAGAAATATCACTACTTGCATCGACAAGGAGATACTCCAGAGCTAACAATTAAGCTCACTCAGGTTGTTTACGCCTTTTATTTTATTTTATGTTTTGTTTTGATAAATTAATATTCAAGACGGGAGTTTGACTTAATTTTCGATTATTTAATAGAGCTCTTAATATCACATTTTTCGTGCAAAAGGTGCGTATAAATAGTTTATAAATTGACTTTAACACTCCGTTGCGACGGAACACTACTGTCCATCTGTAATAATAATTCATTCAGAGATAATTGCATCGCTCCAAGAATTGAGAACCAAATGTCATGTTTATGGAAAAAGCCTTATATAATCCGGTACTGCCCGAATGATTTATCCGTATTTTTTTTTTCTCTTAAAAGTATTTGAAAAAACAAAAAAAAATGAGAAGACGAACTATTCAATTTTAATTATCGTTTAATCACAATGGAGATTTTAATCGTGAAGATAAATCGCTTGTTGCTGCAATCAGTTAGCCAAGGAAAACGATGCACGAATGATTGTGGCAGTGAGGAACGTGAAACTATTGCCCAGTTATTTTTTTATCTTATCGGTTTGGAAAGTATAGAGTCTACTGCTTCGAACCTTATGGAAAATAACACCTAATTTTCCGTGTGTCCTTGGTAAAGGCTATTTGCCAAGTTACTTGAGGTCTCGGTCGAATTTCAACTTGGGACTGCTAATGAAGAACATTGTCTATATGAGAAAACCAATTGTTATGCAGGAATCTCAAGCCAATAGTGGTCGAGTTTAGAGAATATAATAGATAAGACTACTTATTCTTCAGTCTTTATCATTCTCTTGAATATTGTGATAAGATGGAGAAGGAAGAGGAACTCATTGGAATCCCAAGGAAATTTTCGCTCTGAAACAATATTAATAATTTATTTTTCACTCACCTTATCATTTGCATGAGAGAATTGCACTGAAAATTTATCGTCGAGTAAAGCAAAAGCACGCAACACGTGGTGACTTTTGCCACTCGATAAATCTGTCAGACGCATTTTCCAAACGAGGAAACTGGTTGCGGGAATCTATTAAGTTTCATCCTCCTAGTGTTGATTGGAAGTCGGAATGATCTTTGGGTTTAGTACCAAATAGAAATTCATCGATTTTCATGAAATATCGTAGAAAGCTCATGACCTTACAAGAGGAATGTCACCATGGCCATGATGAACCAAAAAAATACGGGAATTTTTGGGATTCCCACAGTTCATAAAGCGCTTTTTTACTGTTTATTTGTGGGTAATTGCGTGTTTTTTTTACTTTCAGCACTTTCCACGGCGGCCGAGGATGTGCGCGACGGCATTCAGACACCTGACAATGACACTGGTGAGTCATAAAATGTGGATATCGTTTTTTAATCTTTATTATGAGCTGAAGATAGATTACGCGAATTGTGGAAAGTTTAGATCGAAAGCAGGTTAATGGACACATAACGACATATTTACTTTAATTCCATTCCACGAAAGTTTTTACTTCCCGTGAGATCAAGTCAATTTGAAGTTTGCACAGGTTACGATGATAATTATCATGATGAATTTCATTATTCATTTCACGTTAATCGTCATTTTATGCAAAGAAAATTAATCTGTCTTCTCTGAAGTGTTCGGGAGTTATAGATTAAAAATGTCGATATTATCTGAACGTATCAGCTTTCGATTGCGAGTCGTGTACGTGATTTTGTAATTGATTATCAATATTCGAAAAACAAGGGATTAAAACATCATTTGTTATTCAGTCTTGATGGATTCTCATTTCCATTTGATTTGATATATGAGAAGATGTAGAAATTTCTAGCATTTCTTTTGATTTCAGTAATAACAGTAAACAAGTTTTTACCGATTTATCAGTTTATCAAAAGAGAAAAGTAGAATGATATACTGGAATAATCTGTAATTCCCCAATAGGGCTTTCTATTTGAGAAATCTAAGAGAAATATTCACTCTGTTTATCAAACCAGAAATTCTCGGGAAGAATAACGAAGAATTCTAATGATTGTTGGTAGTAGCCGAAATTGCTAGAGAAATTAACATCAGAAAATTGTCTGAAAAAATGACAATTTTTGAATGTTAAGTTCTCTTCTGTGAATTTGACGACATGTTATCGAAAAAAATTCCACGTCTCTCTATCTTACCGACCGATCTTTATCCAGTCTGGGGTACGAAAATAAGCCTCGCACCGGTTATCATTCGAGTAGCTCGCTGGAACGAAGCTGTCCACCAGGCGGCTCCACCGATCGCGCACGATCTCCCACCTGTTCCTTAACTGTTGATTCAACAAGTGGTCGCTTATCGATTTCCCCTGTTATCTCCCGACAACAACCTGGTGAAACAATACCGATTGCCAACTCCTGCATTACCGATCACCGGTTCGCAACCGATTCCCACCGTTCTCATTTAATTTAGAAACACCTAACTGAAAATAGAGGGAGGGAAATCAAAGTAAAACAATTGTCATGCCAATTCTCTCATCGAAAATTAAATATTCAATTTATAGAATTGATCAACTACGTTTGCTATAAGATTGCGAGTGATTTCGAAATATCAATATGGGCCGGCGGAGGTTCAATTGGCCCTTAACCCCCCAGGCTGGAGGCAATCAGCATGAGTCTAGCAATATCCAGCTGCTTCCTTAAATCACTCATGACTAGAACATCTTCATTGTCCAAGAATGTTCAACAATTTGTGTCAAACTTATTGAGAACTATTTCATGAACCAGAATCAAGGAGAATTACCTCGAATTGAAATCCTAAATTTTGAAAATTAAATTGGCTCTCCCCCTCGTCACTTTGATATCAATGATGCATTTCTACAAACGAAAATACCTGGCAGCTGCCTCCCACAAGGCCGATTTCGCAAACCCATTGCAATGGAAACTTAACAAACTTATTAGAAAAAAAACGCGCTACCTCAATTCCTTTACCTTGCACATACAACTAGGCACGCGACAACACGCTTTCATATTGGACTGTTGCTTCTTGAGTCACCGTGAAGCAATTAGAAACAGTTTACAAGAATTAACTCTCGTTTACTGTGCACGAAAGTCACCTCGAACCCATTTCGTGAGATACTTTTTAATGGGACCTATTCTCATCCAATCGTAACGAATGATTAGAAACTTTGAAATAACTTGCTGCCTGCAAAACGCATATAAAAATCTTCTGACATTCATCTTTTACTCGTTTCAAATTATTCCTCCGAGTTTTATGCGGCGTCGGGGCTCAGATCTTTCGTTGCCAGTAAATTTTTCACTGGAAATGAAATCAGACTGACTAATCCCCGTCTGCTGCATCTTCTTTTTATTTTTCTCCTCATCGAGAGAGGCGACTGAAATTTCTGAGGGGGTCTGGGGCCCGCTGGTTGGGCCCCCAAAAAACCCGTGTGAAACACAGCTTGAACAAACCCATAACGGTTGGCCTCGGAGCCACCTAGCAACAAGTTGACCGGCCTGGGCAACGTCCGCACTCACCAAAGACAGACCAATACCCGTTGCCTCGTTTTATATACCTCAACGCTGTGGATACCTTGGAAACTACTCTATGCGGGTGTCCGTAACGAAACCTCTTAGCTTCTCTCCTCTGCCGCCTAGTAGGTCGTCTTCCTTCTCTTTCATAAATCATTCGGCTAACATTGGTATTCGAGAGAACTCTTGCCAATTTGCTTTTTATCTCCAATGTTATGTCAGACATACGGGGAATAAAAAATTCACAATTTGAAAATATTTTTCAATCTCATCCCTCCGTATTATTAGCTCAACACAGCATATTTACGAACTAAACAAATTTTTTTTCCACTGTGGAATAACAAAAATCGTATTATTTGTTTTTGAATCGAGGAGGCCACGGAAATTTCCAAGGATTCGCAACAATTTTTTATTTCCTCGAAAACCTAGCGCTACTAATTCTCTTGCTAATTCCTCGCTTATCCCCGGGCTTCAGATTCTCTATACACACATTGATGTACACAATTCCCAGTGACGTATCTCCTTGATTCACTCTTCATTATCGGTGACATCACCGGATTTTCTCCTCACAAATGAGTGCTTGCTAGCTAATTGAATTAGCGTGATCACCGCGTGCTTGAATCACTCCCAGTACCGTTCCCTCTACATCGAAGTGAAATCCAGTGTTCAGACACATCAGGTAGTTTATTTTTTCTGCCTGTTTTATGGAGCTTGGAGAATTGAACGGCTTTATCGAAGGCAGTGTCTATTCACAGGCTCCACGGTAACTTTGACCGTCGATATACGGGACGTTTTCCCGTGGATTCAAGGTAATCTCTACCGTGGATATATGGGAGATCGTGGACCCTCAATTTTTACTTCTCAAATTAAATCTAGACAATAAATTAGACACATCGAATCGAGTAAAGCTCAAATTTCATCTAAAGTTTATGCTAAAATAAAATTCATCTGAATAGTTTGATATTCTCGATTCGCTTTTTATTATTTATCATTACTTCTCACAGGAATTGGGTTACATCCATTCTGCAATGAGTAATCAAATTTCAAGCAATAATTGTAAAGTACTCCCACCATTTTATCTAATCGCAATGATCCGGCCAAGTTCAATGCAGAAGGCCTCACGCGATCGATCATCATGTGCCTCCCTAGCCTTGACCGGACATGGTGGCGCCGAATGACCACCAGTCTGAAAAATTCATTGCTCGCATGTGTCCATACAAAAAAAACATGATTCGTAATTCCATTTGGAAGTGCTTCAATTCAACTTCCAACGTCCACTCTATTCTCGCTACTTTTTCCCCAGTCTCGATTATTCATACTCATTTCCGTAGTTGGCGGTTGTTTGACTTTGATGCGTGCTTTTTCATTTTTTATTTCTCCTGACTAACTGCCCTCTAATCGAAACAAATAAATCGTTGCGAGGTGACGTGTCCCTCTCTCTCTATTTCTGCCTCGTCAATTTTTCTGACTTTCGTCATCAATGAATTACTCGCAATATTTCAATTTGCCTGGATTAGATTGGTACATTCAAACCATATCAATTCCACTTGCATTATGACGTCGATTCTGATGGAAATACATAAACAAATGGGAGGAAAAAAATGCGCAATTGGGAGAATAATAAAAACGTTTTCTACATAGAGGAAAATAAAATGAAATATTTTTTTACCGGAAACCTGAATCGTACATTATTCAGTGGTGTTTTATACTAGGTATCGAATATTTTTAATGTTATTGAATGAGAAAAATGTTGCAGAATTTTTATAGAACGAATGAATGAGTGAATTGATTAATTTGTTTCAATGTAGTGTACACAATCTCGTAAAGATCTACAACCAGACGATTTATCGGCTTCAAAGTGGTAGAGGGAGATGACTATGATATCCACGTATTTTACGATTATCTGCACTTGCTGACGCACTCGTTGCACATTGTAGAATAAATCCCTGCGGTTTTGCCTCAATATTCTTCATCGACTTTGAGTATTCCTCAAGGATGTCGTCACACCATGTGTTTACCCAGAAGATATCGATGTTAATTACAGCGATAAAAATTAATTCATCTTCAGAATGAAACATTTTTCATAATTTTGTAGTTCTTCAGGCGTGCTGAAGAGAGGACTCGCAACAGTTGTAGCATCACGCCAACTGTTGACGTAAGAGCGTGATACACACATTTGTTCAAAACGTCTCATTGAGTGTAATTGAACGGTGGGAATCGACAAGTTGTCGGACCTGAAAAATTGCCACTAAATTTTCCATTGATCTTTACATTGGAAAAATTTCACATCGATAAATCGTAATAGTAAATATGCTGTCAGGGGGGTAATTATATCTTGGATGATAAAATTTACGCAATCGTGGAAAAATATATGCGATTGATCAACAAAATGCAGTGATAATTTTGAGGAAACTCGATGGAATTCTGCATGGGATGCGTCAGCAAACGTCAAGAGATGTTATTTGTGGTCCATGAAATTCACAAAAGGGTCCTTTGTATTTCCTTGAGATTTCATCTCTTAATGAGATACTGCAGAATAGTCTCTCCCATCTCCAGTGAATTACAATTCCTCGAATCATTCCCTCAACGACAGGAAATTGGCATTTCAAATTCTTCGCAGACTCTCCCCCTCTAACACATCACGAATAATCTTCGATAACTCGAGGTCAAGAATTTAGTAAAAAATGGAGGAAACTTACATGGGGGTCTAGTGTTATCAGTGCAGCAGAACCGGTAAACAATTTCTCGCCTCTGTGGCCGAGTTCGTGTGTGGTCGCACTCCCTCCACATACCCAAATCACCCTATGCACACGCACACATACTGATATCAAAAAGTATCCCGCAAGTGTATTTTCTTCTCGCGTTGAATTAAATCAGATACCTCTCATTCCCTCTCCCCCTATCTCTGTTACGTGTTAAATAAACGTGTATCGGGTTTAATTGTACCGTTAGGGACGCAGAATATGAAACTATCGACTGGCGATTAAATAGATCGGGAAGAAAAAAATTTAATGGAGTAACGTAGACGTGATTTTACGAATTTAAAATTTGTAACTTGACGCTGAGAGCGACCTCCTTTGGTCTACCGATGGCCTCTCGTAATTATAAATATCCGCATGTGCGTAGCCAGAAATAATAGACGCGTTTTTCGCTCGATTTCCTCGCCTCTCGGTACCCTCGAGTCTGCATCCTCGAGTATAAGCGATTCAGGCCAGGCGAAAATAGTCAACGTCTGGTTGCAGTTAATTTTCCTATCTGACCATATATCCATCATTAAAAATCAACAGAATTATCAGTCGTTGATCCATTAAACGCGCTTCAACTCGAGGCGTGGGAAATTTTTTGGATCCGTTAACTACAATAGATCGATACCTATGAAGCTGGATCGAGTTATGACAGCCTATTTTTATTTTTCGCATTCTTTTATTAGAAACAATCCACTGATATTCATTCGGCAGTCTTTTATTACATCGATTTATCAATTGCATAAAGATCGTTACGAACGAGTTGAAAAACAAGCGCAAATTATAAACGCTTGAGTGGAATAAATGCGATCGATATTCCTGGGCTCCCTTGAACTTGTCACACCAAACAATTCTCGAGACGATAGAACGAGTTGACCACGACACTAGACAATCTTGTAAATAAAATCATACGCTTTGATGCAATGAGACTCTCCATCCCATCAATCATCTCAAAATTCATTGAAAATTTAATCATCAGTGTCACAAATTTTTTTTTTTGCATAACATTTCTTTTTTTTGCTGTTTCAGATTCCTTGCAATTGTATTCGCATCTCGGTGAGTCCTCCAGTGATAAGCTTTTTTATTCATTGAGCATGTGCATGAGGCGGTAGTCATCAATGCTTTGATCGTTCACTATTCATTTGCCGAGAGAGAACAATTTTCATGTTGAAAATGAGCGAACAAATATTATTGAATCATGAATAATGTTTTCAATTCGAGCGGAAAACTTTATGCTCTTTGCGATTACGTGCTGCGCCGAATATTATTGAATTATTGCATCAAGTGATGTTGGTTCGTGGAGATATAGAGTAGTAGGCAAGGTCAATGGAATGGCGTCGAGGGGGGGAGGTATATAGAGGCGGAATTAAAGGAATGAGACCCCCGCAACCACCAGTGATAAATGATCCTGCAAATTCATCTGCGACCTCGAAGTCAATATTTATCTATGCTAGAATCGCGGAATTATTTATCTGCAGTCTCGAATTTTCCATTTTATTTTGGAAAGGAAAATATATTGCTTGGGAGAACACCTCCAATTCAATTTCCCTTCACAAATTGTCTCTTCTTCGCGTTCTATTCAAATTATATTACAAATTGATTTAGATACTTATTATTTTTTTTAGTCAAGCGATTAGCGATTTCGTTGTTTTCATTTCACTCTCAACAAAGATCGGAGATTGAATCATACAACTCGACCCACTTTTAATACCCGCATTGAGCTCAATGTGGGTCGTCTCGATTCACTTATGCGATCGATTGTGAGTAACGAAACAGCCCCGCGCGGAGGAAAAAGAAAATTAATACAAAAGTGAAAACATGAAGAGCACAACAATGGCGCCCATAGGTGCACCCCAGTAATTCCCCCCTCAACGTTATGGTCATCGATCCCCGAGACCATTCCGGAAATAAACTTAGATCGATAATTTCGGAGAATTGAGTGTTGACACGTGAAACAATGGCGCAATTTTGGAATTACCTTGGCGACGCACGCGTTGGCCCCTAAATCATTTCGATTATCATTGAATCGAGGTCTAAAATTATTTCAAAATTTCAGCCAAACGTTTATCTTGATGGAAATCAAGCCAAAAACCACGCGACAGAGCTGGCTTTGTCCTAAATCCGGTAGCCTTTTGTTTTCCTTTTACTTTTTTGTTTAATTTTTAGGCGCACGTGGCTTCTCCGAACAAAGATAAATCGAGTTTTAGCTTTCTCTGGAACTATCGAGTGCGTGAAGAACTGCATCAGTTGTTTCAAGTTACAATAAGTGTCACTGGCTTTTCATGCGCCATACACGCGCGGAAAGAGTGCACTCGAGTCATCAGAAAATAAAAAGAAATAATCGAGTGGCACGTGCAGCGATTCCAAACATTTTTTTTTTTCATGTTACTAACAATTTATATGTTTTTTATCTTTTTGTTCAATTCCTTGTCTGATATTTTCTGATTTTTTACCTAAAATGACAAAATTTGAGACAAATTATCTCTCATTTTTAGTAAAAATTCGCGGATAATTTTTGATGGATTGTTGTCTCCCCGGAATAATTCAAAATTATTCTCCATCACTACAACACCTGTATCATCGCACATTAAAATTTTTTTCCCACGACTATTTCTGACCTGAATTAACTGACAGCTTTGAATAACGCATACTAAAGAGAAAAAAATCGCTGGTATCGAAAGTAAACTCCCACTCTACGTCAGAGATTTACTTACAACCCATTGGACACGGAGTTTCGATGACGTCGACGGGGTAAACGGAGGTTCGTCACTCTCTGACGTTTAAGATGATGGTGTTAGGTTGTGCCACGGGGGAATGTGTCAATCGCACCGGCAGGATCACGATTACCGGGGGAATTTTTACAGCCGAGTGACCTCTACTCAGCGTGGCTGTTGCAAAATAATGACCGGCTTGGAACAACAATAATACGAGCAGGGGGTGTGGTATCATAATGAATTGACGTCAGTAATTTGTACTCAAGTCGTCTTAATTAGCTCTTCAGATCTTGGTTTATAATGACTCGTTTAAAAACATCGAACGGTTGTCATTTACATCTGCTGTACCTCTGGCTCAATGACGTACTTGAACACTGAAAAATACGCGGTGAATAAAGTTGAATAACTTCAATTATTCGGAGAGATATTGACTTTATTTTTAGTCACCTGGCAACATTAATTTTATGATTGACATTTGATCATTGTCTACCATTGGTTTCAAAAATAACTGGTAGTCTCCTCGAAATAACTTCAAGTAAATAATATATCACAGGTCACTCAAGTTCTCTTGGCAACAGATAAAAGGCGGTATTCAGAGAAAAAAGCGTGAAAAATAACTGACAATCATAATTTATATTTTGGTAATGAGATGCGAAAAAAATAATTGCCAGACAGATAATGATGACTTCAGACAGCGGAGATTAATTCCTTTCTTCATACCACAAAACAAAATGATAAGGAACTGAGTAATTTCTGAAAAATTATGCAATGTCCAGTAAATGACTGAACTTCGTAGTCCATCATCTGACATTTTTTACAGTGTCACGAATTAATGTGATTAGATGTATTTTTATACGACATCGATTCGTGGAATGAAAACGCAGAGTAGTCTAGGGCACAAGACGATATTTATAGTTCCTAGTTATATTTTTGTATTCAATGTGTGGTTATAAATTACTTGATACCACTGGATTGAAATTGACACAACAATTTCAATGTTCTCGTAGCTTTATCCTTAATATTCTCAGAAACTGAATTCCCTTCAGCCAGTAAACAAAATAAATTATTCGAAGGCTAGAATAATTTCCTAGTTGAAATTATTGCCCGATAAAATATACGCAAGGCAAATAAATTTTCCCTGTAGTGCTCAATAAACTCCTCTAAAATAATCGTATTTCTGCACTTAAACTGCTGTAATGAATGCAAATTACGACACAAAAGCAGAGTATTGGAAGCACACAATAAATTCAACGAATTGCAGCTATACATTGTCATAGACCGACGATTCCAGAGCTCGAGGATTCTGCAATTTACAACATTTTCATGTGGTTTTGACGTCACTGCCCTTGTCGATCGTCCCTCAAGGCTAAGCACACGAAGTTAATTTTTAATTGACAGTACATACGATCCCGGAAGCCGACTGCAATAACAACCACCAGTGAATTCTACCCGATTCCAAAGTTCTCTTCCAATGATTCGCCGCAAATTGAATTGAGCCGAAAAATTTTAACGACACTGAACTCGAGAAATTCCACTGTCAAGAAGATGCGATAAAAACGAAGTTTGATATGAAGGGCAAGTATAATGCTGATGTTAATGTCCGGGTTCTCTGATTATTATACATTGTGGCCACGTGTAATGAGATAGAGCACATTGAACCGGTTATCCTCGCCATCGTTGGAATTTCAATCAAAAAAATTCCGGGAATCGATGGAGATGTAAAATTCCAGATTATGCTCATGACAGTGTGATATTGCGCTTATTTCATCTAATGTTACACTTGATTAACAATTTTTTAAGAGCGCATACTGCACATCTGGTGAGTAGGTGGAAGCGGGGAGGAGTTTGAAATGGAACGTCAGACGGCATTTTACCGTTCTCATTACAATAACAATTGTTTTAATGGGATGTTGAGCGCTTGTCGTCACTGAATTCTGCGCGAAGGTCGTAGTAATCGAGAGGAATTAAAAAATGCCGTTAATTTTTTTAATAAGAGCGTAAACAGAAAGCCGGTCTCGTAGAATTTTAATTCAATTGACATTTGCTAATGTCACGAGTGTTTTAGTCTACCGATTTGATTGGATGGTCTCATACCAAATTCACCAGCCTCCAAGACGGAAAATAATTCAGCCACGCAGAAAGCTTTATTTTTATCCCACGAAGCCGTCGGAAATCCTCTTATCACATAAACCGTTAATATAAAAACATTAATAGCAGCATCGATAAAATAATGGGGCCGGTGTGTACCCTATCCGACTTGTAGATTAAAAGGCTGCTATTTCTGTACGAATAATCCTGCAGTGCGGTCACTACACTTACCTGTACAAGAATATCTATAAATAGCTCACCACTCGTATCATCCCCAGTGTAAAGAGATAAAACCCAAAGAGAGGAGAATGGAAACAACAAAAACAGATCAAGGATACTCTCGTGCTTTCATCCTACGGCATTTACTCGAAGGACTTCAACTTCTTTCACATGACGTTGTGGTGTCAGAGGAAGCTGGTTCTTCAGGTTGGTGGCTGGGATGGAGGTGAACTCTGTGTTGGGAAAATTGATGAAAATAAAAACAATAATGATCGTGTCGATGCACTGGGTTAGCAATCTTGTTTACTTGGGGCCTTTCAATGACGCGTAATTGGCGCATCCGTGTCCCAGTGGCCAACGAACCTGGGCTCTTTGAAATTCCGGTTATAAATAAATAATCTGGCGTCAGATATATCCTCAGGCATATCCGTCGATTTTGATTAATCATCTTATAAATTGCAAGGGATGTGACGGAGATTTTTTTATTGAGGTGGCATTTTTTGAGTTCGTTACACCTTTTGGAGTGATTTTGTCAACAACCCGAGTCGAATAATTGGACCTGACAAGTTCTACTTAGGTATTTCCGTTCAGAACTGGATAGGTCTTGGAAAGCCTCTTCCCAAGTGCTTCCGAGACCTTTCTACTTCTGGTTATGTCCGTTGCATTGGCCTTAGGGGGGCCAATAAATACGGAATCAACATTCACTTGGCGAAAAAATTCGATTTTGGCGAAAATCGACTTTCCCCCTGGAAAAACGGAAAATCTGACCCTTTGAAAATCTGAAAAAAAAAACTTTTTCAGTTTTCACTTTTTCCACATACTTTTGAGAGTTCTGAATTGCCCGTCGCTTAAATAGTTGGAATCAACGTTCACCCGGCTAAAAAATTCGATTTTGGCGAAAGTCGACTTTTCCCCGGGAAAAATCCAAGATCTGACACTTTGGTCCAGATGAAAAAAAAATTTTTTTAGTTTTTACTTTTTCCACAGACTTTTGACAGTTCTGGACAGCCCGTCGCTTGAATGATCAGATTCAGC